GCAATACATTTGGAAATGGTTCCGAAAAAAATTATTTCCCTTTTCTGCAACTCATGTTGGACTCTTCTAATCTCTCCCTCAGCAGCATCTTTCTAACCAGCCTCCCACCTTCCCCCTTTTAACTAATTTCCCCTCCAGGCCCTTGTCATTTCCTCCCTTAGTCATCGCAGTCCAGCAGCTCCAGAGTGACCGTGTTGTGTTTCGAAGGGTGCTTCCCCATTCCACTGTCACGTGGGCACGGTCCTTCCAATAGTCCTGTAGCAGACTTTTTTTTTTTTTTTTTTTTGAGACAGAGTCTCGCTTTGTTGTCCAGGCTAGAGTGAGTGCCATGGCGTCAGCCTAGCTCACAGCAACCTCAAACTCCTGGGCTCGAGCGATCCTTCTGCCTCAGCCTCCCGAGTAGCTGGGACTACAGGCATGCGCCACCATGCCCGGCTAATTTTTTATATATATATCAGTTGGCCAATTAATTTCTTTCTATTTATAGTAGAGACGGGGTCTCGCTCAGGCTGGTTTTGAACTCCTGACCTTGAGCAATCCGCCCGCCTCGGCCTCCCAAGAGCTAGGATTACAGGCGTGAGCCACCGCGCCCGGCCTGTAGCAGACTTTTTAAGTCTTGGCAAAGTGTTGGCATTCTCTTTAGTTTTTTTTTTTCCCCTCTAAGTACACTCTATAGGAAATAAAATGCTCATAGAATATAGGTTATTCAACAGAGGGACAAATAATGATTTTTAAATTATATTTTGTTCCCATGGCAGTCTTGATATAATAGATTTTTTTATTAATCATAATAACAATTTATTAAATATGAGAAAGGGGGCCAGGCGCTTGTCCTTGGTGGCGTTTAGAACAGTGCCTAGCACACTGTCTGTCAAAGGAATGGAAGGTACATTGTCTCCCTGGATCAAGCATAGCATAGTTCAATGAGAGCTGTTTGCTCCTTGATTTACTTTGCTTTCTGCTCACACAGCCCCAGGAGTCTCTAGCAGCAGAAGACAGAGCACAGGGTTCCTCTCCGCATCCACTGAGAACAGTAGGGCACCGTCCAAAGTGGAAAGAGAAACCGCCTACGCCTAGGTCTCTGACCTCACCTCCCTGCGCCTGCTCTTTCCTCCCTACTGTCCATTCGTTGCATAGCAGCCTGAGCAATCTCGAAAACATACATCAGACCTCGCCATGTCCTGCTTTTAGTGGGCCAGTGGCTTCCTCTGTAATTAGAGTGATCTCAAAGCTCTTACACGGCCCCAGGCGAGCCTGCTCACACCTCAGCCCTCACTTCTGACCACTCTCCCGTGTTGACTCCGCGCCAACCCTGTTGGGCTGTTCACGGATGCTCTGCTGTGCTGAGTTCATTCCCACCGCAGGGCCTTTGCAACTGCTGTTCCCTCTGCCTGGGGTGCTTTTCCCATCACGTGGGTCTCCAGAGCAGCCCTTTCCACCCACGCCTCTGTTAGAGCTCCCTGTTTTATGTTCCTCATGGCGGTTATCGTCATTCTCACCACCCGAAATCACGCGTGCGTTTATTGTCCGCTGTCCTGTCGACTCCACCGGAATATCCATCTGCTCTGTCTCGACCACCCCGAGCCCCCGCAGCCCGGTAACCATGTGTCTGGTGAGTGGTTGAGCAATGGCCTGGGCGTTGTGTTTTCAAGTTAGGTATTGCGTCTGGGCTATTTTGTTTTGTGGGATGGATGAAGGAAGTTGCTCCAAGGTCACATGGAGGCCACAGGTTCTTGTGACCTGGATTTCAATTTCAACAGCTCAAGCCTAAGGCAACCTCTGACCCTGGGAGAAAGAGGCAGCCAGTTCTCGAGAGTCTAGGCTGAGTGGCGGGTTAGGCCGGGGCCAGAGCTGAGAGTCAGCGCTGACTTCTGTTCCCAGATACTTGGTGACTAGGAAGTACTGTTCCTGTCCTCACAGTGGGGCTATGCCACAAGGGCGCCCCCTGCACTCCCTGTAACCTCCCATTCATTCACACACGACTACAGAGCATCTATTGAGCACCTGCTATGTGCAGGCTCTGCTGTAGACACAGGAGAGGCAGCACTAAATAAGAAAGCCCAGGTCTGTCCCTCATGGCATTAACTTCCCAGAGGGGAAGACAGATGAACAGATGAACAAATAAGGCAGGATAACTTCAGATCTCGATAAGTGAAGACAAGACAGATGATGAGAGTGATGTGGCTAGGTTTGGGGGAAGGAATTTGGATAGGGTGGTCCATTGAGGCCTCTGGGTGGGGTGATGCTTACTTGGGGGAGGACCCACGTGATCCAGCCACAGTGAAAGACGAGCATTCCAAGGCAGGGAACAGCAGGGAGAAGGGGAAGGAACTGAGGCAGGGGAGCTGGTGAGAGCGGGATCCAGCCCCGTGTGGGCGAGGTAAGTTTCTCCACATGGGCCTGCCTGCTCTTCTTCGATAAAGACTGAGTTAAAAACGTCTTGCTTTCCACCTCCGAGATGCTAACGGTACAAGGAGAGCCTGAAACTGCTCCCTACTCATAAAAGAACCCTCACCAACCTTTCTTGCCCAGAAGCACTGAAGCAAGCCACGTCCCAGCAAGCAGTGGACACATTTGACGCCACCATAGTCTGTCGCATCTAAACCAACCTCGAGGCTGGGCGCGGTGGCTCACGCCTGTAATCCTAGCACTCTGGGAGCTAGCAGGCAGATGCTCAAGGTCAGGAGTTCTAAACCAGCCTGAGCAAGAGGAGACCCGTCTCTACTAAAATAGAAAGAAATTATTGGCCAACTAAAAATATATATAGAAAAAATTAGCTGGGCATGGTGGAGCATGCCTGTAGTCCCAGCTACTTGGGAGGCTGAGGCAGGAGGATTGCTTGAGCTCAGGAGTTTGAGGTTGCTGTGAGCTAGGCTGACGCCATGGCACTCACTCTAGCCTGGGCAACAAAGTGAGACTGTGTCTCAAAAAACAAATAAAAAATAAAAAAAGGCCGGCGCGGTGGCTCACGCTGTAATCCTAGCTCTCTGGGAGGCCGAGGCGGCGATTGCTCGAGGTCAGGAGTTCGAAACAGCCTGAGCAAGAGCGAGACCCGTCTCTACTATAAAATAAAAGAAATTATTGGCAACTAATATATACAAAAATTGCCGGGCATGGTGGCGAATGCCTGTAGTCCCAGCTACTCGGGAGGCTGAGGCAGGAGGATTGCTTAGCCAGGAGTTTGAGGTTGCTATGAGCTAGGCTGACGCCATGGCACTCACCGCTAGCCTGGCCAACAAAGCGAAACTCTGTTCAAAAAAAAATAAATAAATAAAAAAATAAAAATAAAAAACCCAACCTTGAGAAGGTGGAAGTTTTAAAATTCTATGTCTTTACCTGGACCTTCCTTGAGAGAGTCTAGAACCATTCCACTCAGTGTTGAGATGGAAGAGGAGCAAAGAATATTTGCTCTTTAATTGAGGCTGAATCTAGTTGCATCTTCCTCATCTGAGAGACCATATCACCCCTGTCCATCAACACAGAGGAAGTCTCAGGGTTAGGAGACAGCAGAGTGAAGATCTAGATGCATGTTACTCACAGATTGTAAAGTCTAAATCATAAAAAATCTAGGCCATTCAGAAAAAAAAATGCCAAAAAAATGTTAGGAAGGAAAAAAAAAAAGTAATGGATTATTCTAGATTAACGACAACTGAGACCTGACAAACAACGCAATGTGTAATCCTGGAATGAATTCTGGATTGGAAAAACAAATAAACACACAAAATAAGTAACAACATCCAAAAAAGCTAAAAGGAATACTTTTGGAAAATGTCAATGTGGACTGAATATTAGAATGGCATTATTAAATCAATGCCAACTGTTCCTGAGTTTGATAAAGAGATGTAGTTCTATAGGAGAGGGTCTGTGTCCTTAGGAGACACATGATGAGTGAGGTATTTAGGGGTGAAATGTCATTATATCTGCCCTTTATTTTCAAATGGTTTAACTACAGTAAAAGTAAAGTGTGTTCCTATGTCTAAATATATACAAACAGATGAACACACACATGACAAAATTACCACAAATCAGTGAATCTAGGTGAAGGATATGCAGGGATTTACTGAATTTTACTGTTTTCAATTTTTCCAATGGTTTGAAAATTTTCAAAGTAGATAGTTGGGGACAAAATTTTAGGGAAGCTAAGATATTTACACATAATCTATGAAAGAGAGGATACCATGGGTCACTCAGGCATAAACTCCACTAGTGACATTTATTATTATCACTGTAATAATAAATAACATTTAATTCCTATTAGCAGGCTCCCCATTCAGTACTTGTTTCATTTTATTTTTCCTGTTCTACTTAAAATTTTTTTAAAAGGTGTAGCAAGATTTAAAAACATCAACCTTGAGCTTCACTTTCTCTGTGTCTGAGTAAATTTTTTTATATGGGGGCCGTTTAAACATTCTAGATAGTGAATCTTTTTTGATTCATGACACAGACTTGATGTCTGTAAGAAAGTTCCAGCTTCCCCCACACGCTGCCCAGGTTAACGTGACAGTAGCACCCAGAGTGCCCACTGTGGACCCCGCATGGGAGGCTGAAGCCAAGGGCTGGGCTCTGCCATTGGGAAGCCAGCACAGACATCACTCAGGACAGCTGTGAACAACACGAGTGACTTCAGAGTGCAGGGAAAGAAGAGGTCATGGTGGGCTGGGGCAGACACTCACATCTTGCTTAAGTTCACTGGATGGCGAATGGACACAAAGTGACGGGTTGTGCTGTCTGCCACGTTTGCCAATTTCTACCACAAAGTCATTTGCACGCATCTCAGACTCAAATTGGTGAGAAGCTCTACAGTACATTTCTATTGCACAAACTTACCTTAAACATGCCCACCCCAACCTCACGTCACTAGCATTTATCCCGTGCCTTAGGCACTCAGACAGACGCCTGTGTGTCATCCCGTTAGACACTCAGAACTAAAGCCACTGCCGTCCTGAAAGACCGCGGGCTGCTCCCCTCGTTCCGGCCCCTCCGCACAGCCCGTCGCTCACCTTGGGCGCGCCATCCATGACTCCGGTGCCTTTCATGCCGGGGATGTGCAACGGCTCCTCCGAGCTCCACGGACGGTACCTCCGGCCTCAGAGGAGGGTTATGCAATGTCCCTGCATGCTCCTGGCTGGTTCTCAGAAACTGAATTCTATGGAGCTATGTGATGACACATGGGAAATTGTCAAAAAGATTCCCCCAGCAGGCAAACTTTCTGGAAAGCACGGTAAGAGTGAAATGAAAGGGGCGAAGGAGGAGGGAACCAGAAATATAGGCCAGGCTCACGCCTCAGTGCCTGACGTCTCACTTTGTCTGGAAATAAAGATTGTCACTCATTTGCTGTGTGAAACCACAAAAGAAGAAGAAAAAAAAACACCCTTCTGCTTTAGGGTGAAGTTCCTACTTTGAAGAGTCCGGTGAAGGAACACACAGCAGAGCACTGTGGAGCGACTCCCACCGACCAGACCAAGCTCATTTCCCCGATGAGAGGCCACTTGGCCGAATTTCTGATAGCGGTCAGCATTTCTTCCTTCCTGCTCCCTAAAACTGGCCTTATGACAGCCAGGATAAAATAAGTCAAGCTAAATGCCTTAAAGGACACGGTCCCCACTCCATCCATCCCTCTCATTTACACACTTTCCCTGCTCCGAACCCCACACACCTCCTGGTCTTTGTTCACAATACCTATGATTAATGTCTACTTAGTGCTGGCTCTGCACCCAGGGCCACGCTGAGCACCACACTCGTATTACTATTACCTGTCTGAAATCTGACAAACCGATCGTTCGTAGTGTATCTGAAACCACCACTGGCTCATGTGGTTCACCGTCACTTGCCAGCTCTTTTTACCTTTCCTAAATTCAGACCCAACATCTAGGGAGAAATTACAGTGTAGCAGACTCTGTAAAGTTTGCATTTTAATTTCATTTAGATGAAATAGTACCCATTCTTCCAACCCTGGCTCAAGTTCTGTCCGCAACCAGCCCTGTCTCCTATCATGTCGCTCTTCTTGCCATTACAACACTTACTGTCTTATCTTCTTTTGTCCCATATGTAGTCCCTGTAAGTCTGAGCACCAGTACATATTTGCAGATTGAAATAGCTGGCTGATTTCTGGCTGAGATTATCACTATTTTAAAATGATGTCATTGCTGGAAATTAATTTTGAGGGCCAAGTGGCTGATGTGCTGCAGGGGGCAGCAGATGACAGGGAGGGAACAATGACTCCACAGAATGAATACAAACTGACTTGGCAACAAGTTCAGAGTGGACATCCCTGGCGAGGAGGAGAGATGGGAAAAGGGGAAGTACTTGGGAAGGCTTCATGAAGGCAAGATATGGAAGAGGCAGGGACAGGGCAGCACATAGGCAGAGCTTGTTCCTGGATGTGACATCAAGAACACGGAAGTAAAAAAAGCGATGGGAATTAGCAAGTTCCATTAAGCAGATCCATAGGGAAGAGCAAGGAGTCACCGAGGCTGAGGTTATGAGTGATGTCCTATAATCTTTTTTTTTTTTTTTTTGAGATAGGGTCTAGCTCTGTCACCCAGGTTGTAGTGCAGTGGTGTCATCATAGCTCACAGCAACCTCAAACTCCTGGCCTCAAGCGATCTGCCTCAGCCTCCCAAGTACCTGGGACTACAGGTGTGCACCACCACGCCAGGCCACTTTTTCTGTTTTTGCTAGAGATGGGGGTCTTACTCTTGCTCAGGCTGGTTATCCTATAGTCTTTCCAGACGTGACAAATGCTTCAAACGGCATATTGTAATGCGTGTAGCTAGTGTTATTTGTAAGGCCACTACAAAATAGCAGATGATTTCCATGTTGTTAAGTTTTTCCTATGTGTGTCTCTTCACTCTGCTGTCTCCTAACCTCCTAACTCTACTATTAATACTTCCTTTGTGTTAGTGGGCATAGAGGATGTGGTATCTCATATAAAGAAGATGCAACTACATCATCAAGCCCAAACTTGAGGCTCATGTTGCTAGAGTGAGAATCTATTAGAGCTAAGTTCCATCTTTCCAGTTTTATATACCCATAAGAAAAAAATTTTAAATAGGGCAGAGTTTAAATATTCCTTTCCTGCAATTTATTATTTTCTAAAACAAGCATCAATATCTTTTACGCTTGAGGGGTCAAAACAAAATCTAGAAATCTAGCTGACATACCTAGAAATCATGGAATTTAAAATAAAAAAAGTGCAAAACAAAAACTTATCACTTATTTGGGAAATAAAAGGAAGACAGCAGAAAACAAGAGCCTAGATCAGACTGGCAGGGCAAGGTTAGGAGGGAATAACAGATTCGTTAGAATAACAGGGCTGGCAGAAGGGCTCTTCCTGTTTTTCAATACCATAGGAAAGCCCCATGGAACAAGACCTTTTTTTTTTTTTATAATGGACCCAGAAACTACTGTATAATAAATAACTCTTAATGTAAGGCTCTCTGAGCAGGGACTTTGTCTGTGTGGGTCTCTATTTCCTCAGCATACAGAGCAGTGCTGGGCACATAGTAGTCCGAAAATTTTTTGCATAAATGAATGAATTTTGGTTCTAGGCTGGTTACCAAAATACCAATAGTTGTGCAAAATACCAATAGTTGATACTTACTACATTATAACAATGTTTGCTAGTTACAGAAATCTTCTGTTCTTGCCCCATCAGCATTCCTTCCCCCTTCTCCTGGAAAAAGTCCTTCCAGCGTCTGGAGAAGCTGTAAAAGCAGGGCGGAGAGGAGGCGGGGGCTGGACCGCGCACACGCGGCTCTGGCACAGCGACGGGCTAGGCATCAAGGGCAAGCGAGCGATCCCAGCAGGGCCAGCGTCTTTGGGATGTGGGGAGAAAGGTTCTTCTGCCTTCCGTGGAGGTGAGGAGGAGGAGGTCATCGTGGGCAGGGCCGGTCTCCCTCGGTGGGTGGCTCTGCCACCTCGTGGAGAGTGTCTGCCAGGGTGACGCCCCACGCGGACAGGCTGGCAGGGAGGAGGGGAGAAGCCAGAGGTGCGCTGGAGGACTAGGATGTAGTTGGGCCTGAAGAACAATCTCCATGCTCACCATTCACCCCTCAAGGGCAGGGTTCCCAAACCCTGAAACCGGCTCCCATTCACCAAGTGCTTCCCGGGTACCGGGCACTGTTCTAACCACGTTGCTGATATTAACTCTTTACCCCAAACGGCAGCCTTAAGAGGTAGCTACTACTATGAGTTCCATTTTACTGATGAGGAACTGAGAAGAGGGTGAGGGAGGACAGAGGGAGAAAGAAAAGAAGGAGATAGGAGAGAGAGAGAGAGAGAGACAGACAGGCAGATAAGTGGATATTAATTTGGTTAAAAAATCAACCTGGTTTCTTCAACAAATAAACTTCAAAGGGGAAGAAAGAGGTAGAATCTGAAAATGAAAAGGGGCAGGGTGTGGTGGCTCATGCCTGTAATCATAGCACTTTGGGAGGCTGAGGCAAGAGGATCGCTTGAGCCCGAGAGTTTGAGGTTGCAGTGAGCTATGATGATGCTACTGTATTCTAGCAACAGAGCGAGAGCCTGTCAAAAACAAACAAAACAAAAACCACACAAACAACAACAACAAAAAAACAAAGGTGAAGAGACTTACAAAACACATGAGATCACAATGTATAAGCCTATTTGGACCCTAATTCAGGACAAATTGTTTACAAGGAAGTTTGAACACTGATTAGACATGTGACGATATTAATTGACGTTAATGTTTGTAGGTGTAATGGTGTCGATTGTTTTTAAAAGCCCCTAGCTTTCAGAGATATAACTGAAATGTTTATAGATAAAATATATGAGATTTGCTTCAAAATAATTCAAGAAAGGGACAGTGGATGGAGGTGTAGGTAAAACAAGATTGGCCATGAGTTGAAAGCTGGGGAATCTGTGTGAGACATTGGCATTCATTGCATGCAGAAATTTTAAAAAGAGTTGTTTTTTTTTAACAGCTTTATAAAGATATAATTCAGGTACCATAACATTTACCCTTTAAAAAAGTGTTACAATTCTGTGGTTTTGAGTATTTTCAGAGTTGCACACCACTATCTAACTTCCAAATCTTTTCATCGCCCCAAAGTGAAACCTCACCCCCATAAGCAGACACTCCTCATTCCCCTTTCCCCAGCCCTGGCAACCAATATTGTTGACCTTTGTACACATTTGAAATTATCTATAATAAAAAGTAAAAAGAAAAGAAAGACGGACAAGCTTGCTCAAGGTTACAGAAGTAATAGAGTAATAGAGGCAGTATCTGAACCCAAGTCTCGTGGAAAAGAAAGACTTCACACCAACTCATGTTTGGACGGTTCCCATCACCTTGGCAAACTCCTGCACTGATTCTTCCCATACTAAAGGGCTGGTGCTGAAGCTCATGATGCAGATTAGAATGCTATGATTTGCATGACCTTTTTTCCCCAGGGATAACAACCTAGATAAGACAACAAAAATGAGACACAAAAGTAATAGGCTTTGGCCCTGAAATTAGGTAGATTAGCTCCTTTAGTGATACACAGTATATAGTGTTTTGTGAGTAAGGGGCTTGATTTCTCAGTCTGGTATTTGAGTCCTCTACGAATTTTATGAATGAAAAGTGAGACATTTTGCTGCAACCCATTCATATCTTGAGGCAAATGAGTCTCTCATATGCACAAACATTGCAAGAGCATTTTATTCTAGGAAATTGCGTGCTTTTGTAATATCCAGTTGTCTGAAGGTTGAAATGGTTAGAGTTCAAAAGAACCAAGTTTGGGAGACTCCAGTCGGGTAATCTTTTTTTTTTTTTTTTAATTTTCTTTTAATTTTTATTTCAGGATATTATGAGGGTACAAACATTTTGGTTACATTTTATTTCTTTGCCTCACCGAAGCGGGGATTAGAGGCGTGCCCTTCCCCTCTACAGTGTTTACCGTGTCCATTAGTTGTGAGTTTACCCCCCCAAACCCCTAATCCCTGGAGAACATTACTGCCATGTAAGCACCATAGCGTTGATCAGTCAGTGCCAATTTGATGGGGAATACATGTGGAATCCATTCTTCCGATCTTGTGATACCTCATTTCGGATAATGAGCTCAAGTTCTATCCAGGAAAATATAAGAGGTGCTAGATCACTGTTGTTTTTTCTTATTGAATAATATTCCATTGTATACATATACCAAATTTTAATAATCCACTCATGAATTGACGGGCACTTGGGTTGTTTCCACATCCTTGCAACAGGAAATTGTGCTGCCATAAACATTCGGGTGCAGATGTTCTTTATTATAGAATGTCTTTTGCTCTTTTGGGTAGATACCTAATAGTGTATATTGCTGGGTCGAATGGTATTTCTATTTTTAACTCTTTGAGGTATCTCCAAATTCTTTTCCACAGAGGTTGCACTAATTTGCAGTCCGACCAGCAGTGTAAGAGTGTTCTTGTCTCTCCACATCCTTGCCAGCATTTGTTGTTTTGGGACTTTTTGATGGAGGCCAATCTCACTGGGGTTAGGTGATATCTCATTGTGGTTTTGATTTGCATTTCTCTAATGATTAGAGATGTTGAGCATTTTTTTATATGTTTGCTGGCCATTGTTCTGTCTTCTTTCAGTCAGGTAATCTTAATGCTCTTGGCAGATATGCTGAAAACAGTAATTTGGCCTAAATTTTCTTTTCTGAAACTACTGAGTGTGATCAATTAATTTCTATAGCACCCAATAAATGTAGGAAGGCAAATTCCATTTGCTTTTTGTTTGCTTTCATACTGTTTCCATGTGGACTTTTGCTTATCAATCTCCCTGACTGGTAGCATCCAAACACTGGGCACCTAATACCTCAATTATGAAGGACAGCTCAACACCAGGCTTAGAATGTCCAAAACATTAAAGGCATGAAAGGAAATTTCAGATTGCACTACTTTAAAATCACCTGAGATTATCTGGCAGATTTTAATCTCAAAGAATAGCTCTTTGGGCCGGGCGTGGTGGCTCATGCCTGTAATCCTAGCACTCTGGGAGGCGGAGGTGGGAGGATCGCCCAAGGTCAGGAGTTCAAAACCAGCCTGAGCAAGAGTGAGACCCGGTCTCTACTAAAAATAGAAAGAAATTAATTGGCCAATTAAAAATGTATAGAAAA